ATTTCCTGTCTTTTTAAAAAGGGTATTTTGCTGTGCCTTGGTACCTGAACTGAAAGGTTAAATTAATATCCATCATCAGCAAAAATAATAAGAAACTTTATAAAATACATTTACATTTGAAATTTTATTTATTCTCACTGTATTAGTCTGTTTTCATACTGCTGATAAAGACATACCTGAGACTGGGCAATTTACAAAAGGAAGAGGTTTAATGGACTTACAGCTCCAACTGGCTGGGGAGGCCTCACAATCATGGCAGAAGGCAAGGAGGAGCAAGTCACATCTTACATGGGTGGCAGCAGGCAAAGAGAGAGCTTGTGCAGGGAAACTCCCCTTTTTAAAACCATCAGATCTCATGAGACTTATTCACTCTCACAAGAACAGCCCGGGAAAGACCTGCCCCCAGTTTTTCCCACAACACATGGGAATTCAAGATGAGATTTGGGTGGGAACACAGCTGAACCATATCACTCACTCTTTATATCTGTCAACCTACAAAAATCTAGCATATTTTTGTTTCAACTTAGAAAATGTAAATTTATAAATTTCAAAGAGATTTGTTCAATGATTGAAATCCATAAGTATAATATATAAACTGATATTTTGAAAAAAACTTTAAAATAATAAATATTACTGAAATAATATTCAAATAATAATAGCTTTCAAATATTGTTATTTATGAATTGGCAGTTATATTTGTCTTATATTTGTGAGTGTATCTTGAGTGAGTATGTGTATGTTTGTGGATGGCTAGATAGACAGATGATAGGTAATTTGGAACAAACATGTTTTAGATATTTCAACAAATATAAATTGGTAGAACCAAACATATAGTGTGTATCCTTTTTCCTCCCACTAACTGCCCATGGAAATAGATAATATTTGAAATGAATTTACATATATACATGTATATATCAGTTTCAAATTTGCCTTCATCTTCGTGTATGTTGACTACAGAGATTGTATTTCATTTCTCCTTTTCTTTTTTTTTTTGAGATGGAGTTTTGCTCTTGTTGCCCAGACTGGAGTACAGTGGCATGATCTCAGCTCACTGCAACCTCTGCCTCCTGGGATCAAGCGATTCTCCTGCCTCTGCCTCCTGAGTAGCTGGGATTACAGGTGTGCACCACCACTCCCAGCTATTTTTATTATTATTATTATTTTTTGTATTTTTAGTAGAGATGGGGTTTCTCCATGTTGGTCAGGCTGGTCTCTAACTCCTGACCTCAGGTGACTGCCCGCCTTAGCCTCCCAAAGTGCTGGGATTACAGGCGTGAGCCACTGTGCCCGGCCCCATTTCTCCTTTTCTTATGTCATTGAAATTAGCCATGTTTTAATGAAAGGTAGAAAAAAAAATGTTTTTTTGTATCTGTAGATGGAAGGAAAGGAAAAGGTAGTAATAAGAGAAGGTTAGAATCACATTTTTGTTATCCCTCGACTAAAGTTAGAAGATATTCATGATCTAGACATTCTTGGAGTTGTTACACGTTACGTAATTCTGATGTTTTTGGTTTAAGGACTTGGCTGCATGTATGGCCCCATTATTGACTGATTATGCTAATCTTATGGAGAGTGTTATTAGATATTGAACACTGTTGCAACTCCTCATATGAATACTAAGGATGTTCTCAAACACATTTTCAAAACCCAAGAGGGAAATAAACCTTCTCATGCTTCCTCTATCTTTTCTCACCATGACCTGTGAGCAAAATTGATTTTTTATCCCCCAGTTCTGTTATATAAGAGGTGTTGGCTCTCTCTCATTAGTTAATCCCATGTTCCTCCACCCAAAACATAACCATATTCTATAAGATAATTCTGAAAAAAGCTGGCCTCCTGCTTTGCCTTAATCTACCTCAATTAAGATAAGATAATCAGAAACATAACTTTAAAATATTTCTATAAATGGCTAAGACCATTAAAATGCAATTAGAATTATATAATTTAAAGCATATTTGAACCCAAGAGCTTGTGTAATTTAACATCACTATTTTCCACACAAACAAAATGAAGCTCTGAGAGTTTAAATGACATGCCAGGCTTGTGCTCATTTAAGACATCCCATTACCTCCCACCAATATTATGCCATTTTAATAATGAATTTAGTTGCTATTAGTTGGCAATTCTGTAATATGTGGCCAAAACCAAGGCAATAGATACAACCACTATTTGAGTATGACATATATATATTATACATCTTGCCAGAGCTACACTGAATATTGAGACAACTGTCTTGTCAAAACTTAACCAAAATATCTAAATATTGCAGATTGTTTTAATTTTAGTTCCCATGTTATCATTAGGAACTTACATGTTTATGTGAAAGCTGTTCTACCAAACTTAAATCATTGATTTCTATTTATCTTATAGGTAATATATGATGGATAGGTACATAGAAACTGGCATGTCTTGCAATATAAAGCATCATTTATAAGCAATGTTACCTTCATTTGCATAAATATTCTTAAGTTTTATAAAATATTTAAGTGTTATAGAATGCAACATATTTAATAATGTGTGTTTCAGTTATTGACACTTTGCGAAGTGATGGCTGCATGGGAAGTATAAGTTAAAAATTAGTGATATATACATCGTAAAAATATTAAAAATAAATATTTGAGAAAGAACCAGATATTCTCACTGAAGGAGATTTAGCAACTGTTCTAAATTTTTAGGAAGCTAAATTAGCTGGGTCCTTTAGACTTCCTTGGAAGTCTCTTTTCTATTCCATTTGTCTGTGTGTCAGAAAGCAAAAACTGACAAATTGGATCTAATTAAACTAAAGAGCTTCTGCACAGCAAAAGAAACTCTCATCAGAGTAAGCAGGCAACCTACAGAGTGAGAGAAAATTTTTGGAATCTATTCATCTGACAAAGGTCTTATATCCAGAATCTATGAGGAACTGAAATTTACAAGAAAAAAACAACCCCATTAAAAAGTGGGCAAAGGACATGAACAGACACTTCTCAAAAGAAGACATTAATGTGGCCAACAAACATATGAAAAAAGGCTCAACATCACTGATCATTACAGAAATGCAAATCAACACCACAATGAGATACCATCTCACACCAGTCAGAATGACGATTATTAAAATATCAAGAAACAACAGGTGCTGGTGAGCTTATAGAGAAATAGGAATGCTTTTATACTGTTGGTGGGTATGTAAATTAGTTCAACCATTGTGGAAGACGGTGTGACGATTCTGCAAAGATCTAGAACCAGAAATGCCATTTGATCCAGCAATCCCATTACAGGGTATATACTCAAAGGAATATAAATCATTCTACTACAAATATACATACACATGTATGTTCACTGCAGCCTTATTCACAATAGAAAAGACATAGAATCATCCCAAATGCCCATCAATCATAGACTGGATAAAGAAAATGTCATACACATACACCATGGAATACTATGCAGCCATAAAAAGGAACAATATCATGTCCTTTGCCATTATCCTCAGCAAACTAATGCAGGAACAGGAAACCAAACACCACATGTTCTCACTTATAAGTGGGAGCTGAACAATGTGAACATGTGGACACGAAGAGGAACAACACATACTGGGGCCTGTCTGGAAGTGGGGTGGGGGAAGGAAGAGCATTAAGAAAAATAGCTAATGTATGCTGGGCTTAAGACCTAGGTTATGAGTGCAGCAAACCATCATGGCACACGTTTACCTATGTAACAAACCTGCACATCCTGCACATGTACCCTGGAACTTAAAAATAAATAAAAGAAGTCTTATAAAATAATTTTTGTAAATGTAACAAAATTCCAACAATTAAAGATTTATTCTATTTATAAATTGTGCAGGATTGTCTTTATCACTCATATTTGTAATTACTTATTTAAAAATTTGATTTTATTAAAGAATATCAACAATAATATATTTTATTTGCTTTCTGGACCTCAGGTGCAGAGAGCTCAGTTACTCCTATTTCTCATATTAGCAGGCTATGCAAGGCTCCATTCTTGTTTTATTTAATTTTTAAAATACTATTTTATGTTTGCTCGTTTGTCTCAATGTCCACACTCACTTCCTCCCACCATATATTACCACCATGGTACTTACTATACTGTGTTATATCCTAATACATATTTGTATCCTTGACAAATATATTATTATTTATTTTAATATTCATGAATGCTACGAATAGTATGCTACCATTCGTTCTTGTGTTTCCTCACTTTTCTTTTCAATACCCCCCCCCTTTTTCTTGAGACAGGGTCTTGTTCCGTCACCCAGACTGAAGAGCAGTGGCATGATCTTGGCTCATTGCAACCTCCACCTCCTGGGCTCAAGCAATCCTCCTACCTTAGCCTGTAGAGTAGCTGGGACCACAGGCATGCGCCACCATGCATGGCATTTTTTTGTATTTTTTGTGCAGACGGGGTTTTTGCCATGTTGCCCAGGCTGGTCTTGAACTCCTGGACTCAAGCGATTCTCCCGCCTTGGCCTCCCAAAATGCTGGGATGACGGGGGTGAGCGATCGTGCCCAGACTAATAATGCCTTTTTAAAATGTATTCTTAGACTCTATATACAACTAATTAATTGTTTCTTAGTGCTACATAGTAGAGTTTATTCAACTTTAAAAAGAATCCACTTTTACTCATCTTTTCTAGAATGTCTACTATTTTCCTATTTATCAAAACATACCTATTTTTAATGGAATTTTTTTGGCTTTTGCCAGTCATTTTGAAAAAGCCTTCATAAGAGAATCATTAGGAAATAAAACCCAGCAAGTAATATATTGAAAACAGTCTACACGGTGATTCTTCAATGTTTCTTTTCACACTCTCTGGAGTTAGCACTGGGTGTTAGCAAGCCTGGATTCAATCCCCAAACTGTTCTCACAATAGCTCTGATCTTTCATTAGCCACTTAATGTCTCTACACCTTACTTACTTTATCACTAATAAAATTTATAGCTGTGGTGGATCCTGCGCCTGGCCAGCCCCGCCTGGCCTTCCCTACGGCCTACCTGACCGCCATGCGTCTCTCCTCTTCCCCACCTCGTGGTCTGCAGCAGCCCTCCAGCTTCGGCTCCCTGGATTGGTTCTCCCAGAGCAGCTGCTCCGGGCCGACATATACCCCGAGGCCTGCGGACATCTCCCCGGGAGCCTCCCTGGCCCGGGCCAGACATCCAGCAGCCGGGAGGCCCCTCAGGCCGTCAGCATCAAGGAAGCTAGGTCTTCAAATCGGCCCGCGCCGGAGAGGACAGTGGCTGCCTTCACCACCGGGCAGGTCCACGCCTTGGAGGGCGTCTTCCGGCACTGCCTGGGCCCTCGAGCCGAAGAGGCTGGCCAGGCAGATGCAGCTCTCGGAGGTCCAGATAAAAACCTGCTTACAAAATCGCCGGATGAAACACGAATGGCAAATGCAGGACTCCCAGCTGCACAACCCCTTCTCGGGGTCTCTCCACGCGCCCCCGGCTTTCCACTCACCGTCTTCTGGCCTTGCCAATGGCCTGCAGCCGCTATGCCCTTGGGCACCCCTGCCCGGGCCCCAGGCTCTGATGCTGCCCCCTGGCTCCTTCTGGGGTCTCTGTCAAGTGGAACAAGAGACCTTGGCCTCTGCATGGGCTTCCTGCTACCGGCAGCCTCCAGCGTACCACCCCCGAAGACCAGGAAGTGGCGTGCATAAGCTGGGACCAGCCCTGTCCTGGGGGCCCTGGGGCCTGTGTGCTCTTCTGGAGAAGTGGGGGTTGGGGGGATGCATTTTGAGGAAGCGCCTCTGACTCCATGACTCCCACACACGCGGTCTGTGCAGCTCGCACCGGGCGCCTACCCGGAGGACTCAGCTGTTCTGTTTACATCGTTGCGGCACCTCTCACCCTGACCAACGCAAAGGTTCTGGAGATTGCTAGAGAATATATTTCTTAAAGCCACCTCTTCACTGAAAGTTACCAAAAGGGTCAGTTTAGGAAGTAAATGAAGGGTCAGTGAACAGAGTCAAAGGCAGAAGTGGGCTTGTGGGTAGGGCTTTCAGCATATGATAAAAGGATATTTGTATTTTGAAGTACTGGAAAAACTGGTTTTCCAGGTGGAAAAAGTAAAGGTTGTAAGCTTTGTGTGTAAAAAAGAAAACCATGAAGGATTGGAAGGGAATGCAGGTGTCGTGTTTATAACCTTGTGGTTCGAGTTCCTCTTAACAAGGACTCCAAAGCTGGAAAACCAGAGGGAACAAAGGTGCAAATTAAGACGGGGATGCTGGGGCCCTGCAGTGTGCTCTAAGCTGGGACTGTGCCCGCAGTCTGCTGAGGGCTGCTCTTCTCGGGCCAGGGAAAGTGGGGCAGCCGGGGGCCTGCGACTGTGCCTGGACTGAAGCCATCCCGCATGTCCCCACCCTCCAGCATGTGCTCATCTGTCCCCTTCCTCGCAGCAGCCTCAGGACAAAACAGAATGACTCAAGGACAGCACTTCCTGCAAAGTCTGGAAGGGCCCAGAATGGGAGGCACGGAAGCCCCTCCCGGGGAGGACTCTCCCTCACTGATGGACCATTCTTGGTGCAGACTCCTGACTGCACGCGCCGAACCGTAGACAAGCGGGCATCCATCCACGTCACCCTAGAGTCCCCAGGAGGCACGCAGCGCGGGGCGCCCAGAGAGACGGGTTCAGCCTGCAGGACTGCGAGGCGACCTGTGAAACCGACCTAGGCATCCCAACAGGAACAAAAGCGTGGTCCTGTGGCCGAATCCACAGCAAGCTCCGCTTTCCCCTTGCTCATTTCTGCATTGTTGGAAGTGTTTACAACCAGCATGTGCTTTTATAATACAACCTCAGGTAAGAATGGAAAAAAATTATAGTTATATCATACCTCAAAGATGTTTTTAAGTTCTACAATTTAAGCTACTCTAGAATAGAGTAGTTAGAATAGTCAGAAAATGGAAATTTTGCTTAATGGTATTTCTAATATGAAGGGTACAAGAATTGTGGTAGGCTCTAACTGTTGGCATTAATGGCATTTTTCTTCACAGAAACATGCAAAAAACAACCAGTGTTAGATTTCTAGAATGATCAGACCTATGCATATGTACTTAATCGTATTAACCTTGTTGATAATGTTAAATGGTAACATAGAGTTAACCTTAGAACATCTCCTAACAATTGATACGTCTTTGAAACAATTATTTCTGAGGACAATACAGGTAATCTGCAGTAGCTGAAAGCAAATTTTGGAGTAAGGTAAATTTAAGTTTAAATCCTCATGTTGTCACTTAAAAATTATTTGACTGTTGACAGGTTATTAAATCTCTGTGTATTTTGTCACATGTGAAGTAAGGATAATGGAATCATTTTGTATAAGTTAAAGAAAATGTGTAGTTATTTGTTGCTCAGAAACATACCATGAATCATTGGAAGGCAGGGACTGTGACCTACTTTCCTTTTCATCCTTTCATCTTAGAGTAATGCCCGCTAAGGTACTTAATCCATGCTCTCTGAAAAATGAGCAAATTAATTAATCTCAATGTGTCTATTTCATGTCCTCATAAACATGCATGTTTAAATGCAATGAATCTTACTCCATAAGCATTGTTTGGTAGCTAGGCACTCACTAAACATTATTTCTACTTTCTCAAGGCATGTAGAACTGAATTGTAATCAATGATCAAACCATAAGTATTCTGTATCTTTAGTAAAGGCTGTGAATAAAGAGTAACATTACTTGTTCATTCATTTGAACCTTTATTGCATGAACACTTTGCATCAGATAATATACCAGCAAATGTACTAGTGTTGCTGTTGTTGTTTTGGACATTTGGAAATTTCTGTTTGTCTTCATGCAGATAAAGTATCTGGGTAGTAATTATTTTTTTCACATGAACATTTTAGAAACCTGTAGAAAAGGCCAATACCTTTTGCTCAAAGATACCTAAAATATATTACATGGTAATAAAATAAATCAACTAGATCAATAAGTTTGGTATTGTTAATTTTAAAGTAACTTTATTTTATCATTGACATATGTAGTTTGACAAATTAAATGCAGTACCAAGCTTAAAATAAAAATACAGTGATACTGTCCCATCATTCCCCAGTCTTACTTCTCTATCCTGGGGGCAAACACTTTTGAATCTTTCAATTGCTTAATTTGGCATTTATATATCTCCATAGTTTTACATAATACGTAAATATAGCTATTTTTATTTATAAATGTTAATTATTATCAAACTTCAAGTTTCAGCAGAAGTGCAGTGATGAATCAGTTTTAAATCCATCTCTCCTAAAAACTGTAGATAAATATGGAGAAAATGCACACAGGTATGTGCGCATGCACACATACACACACACCACATGAAGAGTGCTTACAGTTATTACACTGATTCACTTCATCTTCTGGTAAGTTATAGATTAACTCTTTCATGATGCCAGTTCTATGTTTTTCCTCTTTCCAATGCCTGCTATTGTCATGAAAATTTTGGTTAAATCAATATTGAATAAACATCATGCATTCATCTGGACTAGTGCTATTTATGCCTGCTGCACACTTGTTACCTGGTACCCTCTCGTAATCACGATCCTGTTAAGTTTTCTTTGAAATTTTCCTATATAACGTTGCCATTTCTTCCTCTTTCCTCACTTATTGGCTTATGTTATTAGAGGGTATCCTTTGGTTAATTACTGTAAAAAAAAAAAAGTGCATGGGAAGTATATTTTTGAGATATTTGATTGTCTGAAATATTTTTATTTTCCTCTCACATGCTTTATTCATAGTTATACTACATTTTTAACACATTGCTCTGATGTCTTCTGTTGTTGTTGTTACTGTGTTACTATCGAGATGCCCAAAGCCATTCTGATTACAGATTCTTTGTATGTGATATTCATTTTTCCTTTCAGGAATCTCATAGAAACTTTTTTTTGTCTCTGCTGTTCTGAGATTTTATAATGACCTTATTTGGAATGAATGTATTTTCATCAAGTCTGCTGGATACTCAATGGATACTTTCAAACTGAAAATTCATGTGTTCTAATTCTGGGAATTTTCTTGAAGTATTTGCTTATTTCCCCTCAAGCATTTTCTCTGTTTTCTCTTTTTAAGATGCTTATTATTCAGCCATTAGGCTTCCTGGAACAGTGTGCTAATTTTCTACTTTCATTTTCTTTGTTTTTTGCCCTACTCTTGGAGATTTGCCTGATTTTATCTTCCAACCCATCCACTGCTACTTTTATTTTTCCTATTATGCTGTGTCAGGGGAGACATCATTTGGGGAGACAGAAATTATGCCCCTTTTGTGAATAAAGACAATTTAATAGAAAAAAATTGTTAACTACCTATAAGATTGTTGACTAGGTAACTGAAAGAGTAAAAAGAAAACTCATAAAGTTAGTAGATATAAGAAGTGGCTGCCAATCTTAGGACTAAAGGAATAAACACAAGATGTTGAACTAAAATCTGGAAATATACAAGAGGGGTCTACTCGGATCTCTGAGAAGTACTCAGTTGCTGTGGGTCTCTCTGAGTTCAGAGGAGGTCAATAACTGAATGAGGCCTTCAAGGGGGGGACGCTAGTAGACTAGTACTGATGTTTCTGATGGGGCAGGACATGGTGAAGCTAGTTTTGCCGGTGTTGGAAAAAAACTGCAAACTAGATTTGACTGCTGCTATTAGAAGAAAGAGCTGCTGCTGGGGTGAAGAAGTATTGTGGAAAAGCAAAAAGGAACAAGTAAACCATTTGTTCTTGCTCCAACCTCATAGTTGCCCTCTCATCCCCCTCATAATGAAGCCTAACAGGGTGCAGCTGGCAAAACAGAAATGGGGTTTGCAAAGTCCCTGTTTCAACATCACAGAGCAGATTATGCAAGGATAGGCCTGGAGCTGAGAAATAATAACTTAAACACTCTTATTGTTTTCTGAACGTTTCTTTCTTTTTAATAACATTCTGGTTTGATGTCATAGGTGCAATATTTTCTCTTATCTCTCTGTAGGTATTGAAGTTTTCTTCTCCCCGTAGTTATACTTCTTTCTCTTTTTGTTCTTTGTTGTTTGTGTTTTTGTTATTTTTTGTCTTCCTCCTCTTTATCAATTTTTCCTCATTTATCATATTCTATGCCAGAAACTTTCTGGGAATATCTTGGCATCTACCTGTCTTATAATTGGAGAGACTAAAACTCTGAGTGTAAGCTTTATTTTAGATCAATCTGAATAAGGAGTTCTCAGGGAAATCATGGTGAGAGTATCTTTACGTTTTCCTTTTTGAGCTGGTTAATTCCCCAAAGGATTCTTCCAGTCTTGTGTCTGAACCATAACATTCTGCTAGTGAGCTCGGTAGGGAAAGAGTTCTATGATCTAATCATTCTAATAAATCAGCTACTACCCATCTGCCTGCTTACATATTTTTCTTTTCCTTTATTTTTCTGTTTACCTCTCATTTAAAAAATCTATTTCCTTGGGTGTATATACCACAAAAATATCATCAATGTATTAAATGGTAATAATTGTAATGTTACAGTGACAATTTATATTTTAACACAGATGTGTTGTTATATTTGAGCTGCTTATTAATAATATACACAAAAATGATTTCAAGTGAAGCAATAATCATTTTGGTCTAAAGAGTGTTTGTAACTATTCTTCTAACATCTTGTACTTCTTAATGGTCTTTAAAAATATTTGCAAAGTTTATTTTATACATTTTCAGGATAGCAAAATTATAATACCATTTAATACCATTCTCTTTATTTTTAAACACAAGTTGCCTAAGACAGATATTTCTTATAAGAATTTTGTAAAATACTCAACAGAATCCTGAAATGCCTAAGGTTAGAGGATTTACTCTATTTAAAATTTGATTTAAAAAACAACAAAATAAAAACACTCTATAGCGTCACCTAACTTTCAAATTCTATACTGCTATGGAGAGTAAATTTTATTCAAGCCTCTGTGTCTACTGCAAGCAATCTCTGTGCATCACTCAGGTTATGAAAATAAATGGCAGGAATTTTTTCTCAAGGAAGTCATCATTAACCATGACTGATACCTTAATAATGCTGTAGATATAGTTTAATTCGGAATTGAATTTCCATTATTTCTTCTGTAAGAAATGAGCTATTATTATCAAGCAATATCAGAAACTCAAACATCTCATTTGTATTTGTTTTTAAATCGATAAAATGTGGTTTTGGCATCTCAACACTTTAATATTAGATATCTATTTTGAGATTTAGCTAGTGAGAAATGTTATTGGAAAGCAGCACTGTTAGTATTAAATAAATTTGCATTCAGATTTGACCCTACAAAGATTCAGATAAATGTAAATTCTGAGTGTAAACATTATGCGCTCATTTCTTGGCTTGTATGCTCTTCTTATATGTCCAGACACATAATTTGAATTTCCCATTCCAGAGACAGTATTCAATGTAATATCAAAGAACAAACTGATTATTGTAACTAGACATAATGTCTAATCTACAGCTATACAAAATAGCCATAATTATTTTAGCATAGTAATTAAAATAGATATTTATTAAACAGTAGACATCAGACAATTGCTCAGATTTTATGTATTATTATTATATTAAATCATCACAACAAAATAGTGATGTTGATTATACTATTACCCCCAATTATACAGATGAGAATAATAAAAGTTAGGGAGCTTTGATGTCTTGCCCAAAATGTATGCAGCTTGAAAATAGATAATGCAATACTGGA